GTTTTTCATGACTGAAAGTCTTGCACTGATGATAGGTCACCAGAACATTAAACATTCATTTCTCATTTCCACACAAAGACGTTTCTTAGGGGGTCTACCTGATTCTATACTCATAATCCTATTACGATAACAAAAAAATAAGATAACAAGGCTATATTTGTGAAGACTTTCGTGAGAGTAGGCCAGTAAAAGAAACAAAATCAACATTTCACTGTCTGGAACTTAAACAAATCTCAGGCATTTCTTCCAAACCCTCATAGCACTAGTCAGCTTCTCTTTCATCAACAATTTGTAATTTATAATGTTTTTTACAACGATAGAAATAGGAAAATGAAATTATAGAGTTTTGAAATCTAGTTCACACCTCGAAGGCTGTTAAGTTTTTGAATACTTTTTACCGAACATTACTGCAAACATTGTTTAATTTTGTCTAATTGTATTTCAAATACAATTATTATATTGTAAATTGTTCTATTCTGCATCGAAATAAAGGATATTCCTTATAAAGAGCCTGAAAACCTGACCAACAACTTACCCGAGAGATTGTCCGCCATCTTGGATTACCCATAATGCATTACAAGGGCAGCTGAAAGCAAAATCGCTATAAAACAATTTTTTACGTTGTTTTTATTCTTTATTGGTAGCATCGAATAAAAGAAAACATATTTCATCTCTTCCTTTGTTTTAGAAGGTTTAATGTTTATCTTTTCTTCTCTGGCACTTTATTTTCTCTGTAAGGTCTGCTTTTCATAGATCGCTATTTTCCACCTTCTTTAATTTCAAAAAAATACAATAAAGCTGCCCGTTAAAAATTGCTATCTTTAAAAATTTTAAACAGCTTAAGTTAGTCCTTAAATTGATACATTTCACTATTTCTCCCTTGAAGTGGTAAGAAAATCTGGTCGGGCCCATGGACTATGATTACTCCCAAGAAAACTGTTTCTTTTACCTGATCAATTTTTGGCCATTAATTAAAAGATGTTTTGTACGCTTCTGGCACTTTGACTCTGAAGATGACTACCGCACAGGTTGTCGAAACGTCAGTCACTGTCAACAACAACAGTCCTATTAAGGACTACGTTCACCCGGACGATCAAACTCAACCTACTTTTTGAATGAATTTTATAGTAATATTTCTGACTATTTAACAATTAGTCACCGAAGGTGACGTGAATGTCGGCGAATAGTCACCTCAACTTCGTCTCGGTGACTATTCGCCGATATTCACGTCGCCTTCGGTGACTAATTGTTAAATAGTCAGAAATATTACTATAAAATTGAAGTGAAAACATAAAGGTGATATTCTTTTTAATCTTGAGGCACTGAGAACTGAACTTTCAGCAGCTAATTTTTCCATTGCCTGCTGAGTGGCTGAAATGACTCTCACTGGAATTTACTGTTTGCTTCCAAATAAATGTTTGCTATAATGAGGTTTTATTACATATCAGGTTTTAGTATATACACACTCAGTGATCTTGGTGATTTAAGCAATCTAATTGGTTCGCTATCTCGGACTATTCAACAATATTCACCTCCTAGCGAGTGGATAATGTGTGAGCTCGGTGTTTTTCCCATTTTTTTAGAGAACGATCTTTTAAAAGTCGACAAAATCCTAGGGCTGACTTTTTTTAAGGCAAGAAAAGACCTTGGGAGGATTCAATACGGCGTTTTTCAATTTACTGTAGCTGAGGTTTGTGCTCAATGGATTGTTTACAACATTCGTGTAGAAGAAGCCGTTTCGTGAACTCCGCGTTTTCTAACAAGAAAATTTTGGCTCAAAAATCGAAGTTTCTTTATAACAAATAAATTTAAAAGGAAATGTTTGCAGAAATTCTACGTTTCAAGTAAACAGGAAAAAGAATGATACAGGAAGACGACGTCTTACCTCGAGCAACGGAGTAGCCATTTTTGTCAGCACTTCATGCGAAGAACGACACAACAAACCCTTCTGGCTATAAACTTGGCGAGTCAACAGAAAACAACAAAGCTCTACTTTTCTTCTCAGGTCAGGAAACCTTTCAAACTTTTAGCGGTTCCGTTTGAGCCATTACGCTGTTGTTTGCGAAATGATAACTTGTGAATTGCCATGTTTGAAAATTCTGCAAAGATCTCTTTTTAAACACGTGATTTGATCTGTCAATCAAATCGTACTTTTTAATGGTTTCCTCTCTGATTTTGTTGAGATCACTTCGTGTGAATATACTAAAACAATTATTCTTTTCAATCTCGGTGAATAGTGGCTTTGGGAATATTTACCTCGCCGCTTTCGGGGCTCGGTAAATATTTAGCCACTATTCACCTCGATTTCAAAGAATAATTGCTAACTATTCCATATTGTTTACTATTACTGAGGTAAAAAAATATTTAACAATAATTTCTCGAGCCCGAATGGGCTCTGAGTCAATAGCCCATGAGGCCAAAGGCCGAATGGGCTATTGACTCAGAGGCCATGAGGGCAAGAGGAATAATTGTTTTAGTAAAATGCAACTAGTTGGTCAAAAATATCGAGACAAAACAACTTTAGCTAGCAAAACGCGATTCAGCCGTTATTGTGCATGTTTTGGTTTTCAAAGCCGGTGCTTTTCGGTACTAGTGGGCTATAACATATAGCCTAGTAGTAGCTCAACCAATCAGAACGCAGCATTGATAATAGACCACTAGTTGGATTTTATTAATTGCATATACCCAGTAACTTGAAATCTAAGTGACAGCTCTGATCTTGAGCAGTACTTTTTCCTTCTGATATTTGTTTTTCAATGTCTCAGGGATTTTGTCATTTTCAGAAAATTATACATTTGGTCCACCTGGGAGGACTCATGGATGGATTGGCGTCATCAGCATTATTTTGTGACTCAGTAACATTTTCAGGGAAGAAATACAAGTCTTTTCTCAGCATTGACACCGTAGAAGAAGCCTGCCTCTTGTTAGATCCCACCTGGTAACTGGATACCAATGCATTCACCCTGGTGAGCATTTGCAGGATATCCATATGATGGGAATGCTCATTAAACACCTTTACTACTGACTGAATGAACCAAGATCCTTTATCAATATTTCTCCAAGAGTAATAGCCAGGCACAGTGGAGAAAGCGAAGAGGAAGTCAGCCTCTACAGGTACAGAAACTTGTTGATCGGGCTGCAGGGGGCCATCAGCTACATTCACGCCATCCATGTAGTCCTTACCTACGATTAAAAAAATATATGCTGAGTATATTCAATAGGCAGAGGCCCTTTCCGAGTTCCAAAAACTTTCACTTGCGAAAATGACTTTTATTTGCATAAGAATAAAAAATGATTATCGTCCTCTAAGATGAGTACAAGAAGGTTTCAACGAGAAGATTTTTGAAAATCAGAAGAAGCTTCATATGATGGAACCCAGCTATATGACCGTGGACCCCATTAGTAAGACCAACAACCACATTTTGGACTACCCATTGCCAGAATTATTTTTGATCACTGTCAAAACGTCGAGGTTAGCTTGATGAAATCAGTTGCCAAGTGAGAAAAGAAATCTGACAATCTGACAGTAACCTTATCTAATTCATAGTGATTAAAAAAAAACAACTATTTGTGTGTTTGAGTTCTGTGTACGATGTCCTACTAAATGATACTCACAACTGAATTCTATTTGTCTATTTGTCACCACAAAAATGTCGTTAAATTAAAGGAGAGGGGACTCACTATAGAGATAACGAATTGAATGGGGAAAAGAAGAATTATATACTTAAAATTAAGTGCGGTCAGTAAAAAGTATCTTTTTGCTCACCTCGACAGGCTTGGAAAAAGAAGATCTTTGGTTTGCCAGCCAAGGTTTTGTTATTCTTGAACTTGGAGGTAATTTCTCTTATCCTTAAAGTACCATCTATACCATACACGAAACCCTCCTCTCCATGTGTCAAGATAGCAAAAATAAAAGCATCATAACTTGAATGGTCGGAAGTTGCTTTCTCTCTTACAATCCGCAAAATCTGAGCTGTGGTCTGATTGTTGTGAACTTCCGGCTTAAACTTAAGTTTCTTGAAAAGCTTTTTCAGAGCATCACGATCAATATCTGTGCCTGTACGCGGAGCCATATGATGCCCTGATGATTCAAGGAACGTCTTGTTGTTTATTATCACAGCTATTCCTCTGGTTGAGCGACTCATCTTGTACCTCCAGATACCATCAGGCTCGCCTGTTGAATGATCAAGCTCATGGCTCTCAGGTATAAGTGGACTGTCAACTTCAGCAACGTCTTCTGCAATTCAAAATACCACTCAAAATGAGTCTATGGGATTTAAAGGTGCTCTGAACTATGTATTATAAACGAATTTTAAAATACGTTAAAAATTACTTTTAATAGCGTTTTAAACAGGTTAAAACACCTTTAAAAGCAGTCGAAAAATACATTAAAAATACACTTTTCACCCTATTTAAAACCTATTTCACAAAACAGGTTAAAAACAGTTTTCAAAAATAGCTTAAAAATACATTCAAAACAGTGTTGGATTTGGTACGGGTAATTACTGTTGCTGTTTGCGGTTTAGTTTTCTCACGCCTTATTGGCTTATTTCTCGCAATACAATAACATTTCATAAATATTTCTGGTTTTCACAGTTTTGTGAGTTTCACAGTACACCTTTTGCTGTTCATTAATTACGAGAAAATACGCAATCATTTGCGTGAAACGGCGACCAATTGCGCGAAGAGACATTCATTAGCGCGAAAATACGAACATTTGCACATAAATCAGATTCAATAGCGATTTTTACATTTTAATCAACATTAAATAACACTTTTGGGCATTCATATGCGTTATTCGGCATACAAAAGAGAAAAATATATACTTTCATTTGCGCTCGTTATGCAAGTCATTAACACCATCTTGAAAGTCAATAGGGACAATAGACAAACATTAAGGTGCAAATGCCATTTATTAACATTTCTGTCACACTGTTTGCAATTCAATAGGATTCCTAGACGGCCTTAGTGTGGATAAGAAAAACATTAATGCACTTGTACAAAAAATTACGCGTTCTTTAAATTCAATAAACAAAAAGCGATTTTCAATGGAATACCTATTTTGCCTGACATTTTCTTTGCCAGTGCGATGCACATGGTATGTACAACCCTTTAGATAGGTTACGTAATCTATGTCAAGCGCAAAATAGGGTAAAAGGATCAGAAAATTTCTTCCTGTTCATTTCTCTTCGGGAGCGTTTTTTGACTACTGGTAGATGTAAAATCCCACGAAGAAGTCGAATACCTTTGAACACAGAGAGGGAATCGGTAGGGCTTTCGAGGACGAGCAGGAAGACTATCGTTTAGTCGCAGACACGTTGAGCGTGAATCGATCATCGGCAAGGGGTATCGTGGCGCGTTAGATCACAGAAAGCAGGATCCTGGAGAGATCAAGAAGTGGAAGAAACAACGTGCGCATAGATGATGAAATGAGAGACTATCTAGAGCAAATTATCAACGAAAACTATCTGCTCACACATGCTCAAATAAACAGTGAGTTGAGGAGATGGTTACCAGCCAAACCCGAGATACATGACCGTACTGTATCAAGAACGTTAGACGGGATGCTGTTCAGAGTGAAACTGGTCAGACCCCTCCCTCCTGACAGACATAGACCTAACGTGCTGAGCCATCGAGCAGATTACGGTTTATGAACTACGCCATAGTCCGCCAATGTGTGTTTGTTGACGAATGCTGCTACAATATTGGACGGCCAGAAGTCCCGGCAGGGCGCGGCAGGGAGAAAGCGCGCACCGCCAAGTGTGCGGCCAGCGTGGACGAAACCTGACCGTGACAATGGCAATATCGCCCATCAACAGACTTGTGTTTTCGTCAGCCGCTGAGGGAGGAATAAGTGCTGAGCGTTTTAACAACTTCCTGGCACAAGCGAGGACGAACGTAGATCCTGACGAGTCGGTGATCTTTGTTTATGACGGAGCGCCGGCCCACAGAAACCCGACCATTCGCGCCCTAAATACAGAGCTTAAAATGCTTCCACCCTAGAGCCTTTCCTCAACATCGTGGAACAGGCAATAAGCAGTCTTGAAGCGGCCATCAAGGTTGACATCTCCCGTCACAAGAAGAGGTCGACCTCTGGCTTAAGCTAAGCAGCTATTTTTCCAGTGCACGAACACACTGGTTGTTTTGGACGGTTGCACCGTTTCGAAATACGTGAATGGCCGCAGAGGTCAGCTGGTTTCTCTCGGGTTTTCAACCCGCCATGCAGGCATCAGCGTTTGGGGTCTGACACAGCAGATCAACAGCATGCTTCTTGGCATTGGAGGCCTGGCTGCCTCCGCACTGGGTGTTTATTATCAGCGGGAGGCAATTATGACCACCCTCCGGGGAACCCCTGCACCAAGCGAAGATGTGGTGCCTGAGCCAGAACCAAAGCCAAGGCCAAAGCCAAAGCCCAAGCAAGCCGCAATCTTCGCTTTATGCATTGAAATTTTTTCACATAATTCATACGATGCCCGACAACAAGGTTGCTTTCAACACCGCAATGCTTTACGGCCTGTGGAGAGTTTATTGGAACATTGCCACCCCCTCACTGTACAAATTTTTGATGAAGCGTTTGTCAATATCAAAGATATTTTTTCGTCAACCTCAATTTGATACAACTGAACCGGATGATGCCCCAGGCGAGGAATAATTCTTCACATGAATATATACGATGTCCGACAGCAAGCTCGTCAAAACCATTCTCGATGCTGCAGCACTTACCGTCCTGGCCGCCGGCCTTAGCTGGGCTTCCAAAAAATCGTCAAAGAAAACTTGACCGCCGACCCCAGCGGCAATGCCATGACTACGTAACGTCTACAATCGTGATGCCTGCCGCTATCTCTCTGAAGCAGTACCCCGGAGATAAAAAATCCTACCAAAAAACGTCTGAGTTTATATATAGCATGGCAAGTGTTGCATCATAGCTGGTGGCGCTGTGCTTAACGCTGTGGCTTTCATTAGCGAAAAATTATCTGTCCTGTTTTCTTTCTGGTGATGATCTAAGGCCGCTTGTAGAGGATTACCACCCGATTATGCCAAATACCAGAATACCAGAAAGAAAGAACAAAGCTGCTTGACTGGATCGAAACGAAAGACGAAATCAATGAGCAGGCCAAACAAAACTTTACGAACACCGACTACACCTTCAAGCTCTACAACCGGATGCACCAAGATGCGCCACTCACGACGCCCAGCGAACCAAAGTTCTCTGGCTTCTACCAGCCCAGCGCCCTGCAAAAACAAGGCGAGTTAATCTTTGTTGGCACCGACCGGCCCCCTTGCGCTTGGATACGCTGCCTTTCGATTTTTATAAGACACTGTGGGGCGTGGTCAGGGTCGAGAAACATAAAAATACGCTTTGAACGTCGTTGATGTGGCCAGCAGTTTCAAAGAGGCTGACCCCTTGACCTCTAAGACTCGATTGAGGTTGCATGCGCTTTTCAAAAAACATTAAAAACGCGGCCCTTTGAGATGGCCACAGCCCTTGCAAGTGAACCAGGGGCGCGAGTTTATGGGAGCTGTCACGAAAGAGATGGAAAAACGAAAAACAAATATTCGACGCGGGCGGGTTGATATTCACCGGGACCAGGCGATCGTGGAAAGCCAACCGCACCCTTGCTGATCCCCTGTTCGGCCATCAGTATGCTGTTGAGATGCGGCTGCATGCTGGCCAAAGATCTTCCTAATGGCTGGTGCGGCTTCTCGCTGTGGTCTTCGCTCTGAATAGCGAAGTGACTCGCCTCTCGGCAAAAAAACCCGCTGAAGCTATTAAAGAAAAGGCCGTTTGTTCCAAAACCTGCGACTTCTTACAACAGACTTGTTGGGGGACGTGAAAAATGGATCCCCTTCTCGGCAGTTGTTCGCTATCTCTACCAACCGGCGAGCTCGAAGGTGGAAGAAAAAGGGCCACAGATCCGATCTGGTCTTTGAAAGTGTACCACATCCAGAAAACCATCACCAAGCTCAATAAACCGATTTTGTATTAGTTGCACCAAGGCCCCAAACGCAGCTTTGTTCGCGAGGAACTTCTTGTCGTGCCTGCCGACAGCGAGCTGCCGCCCACCTCATAGAATTTCTCACAGCTCTCGCTCCTACGATTCCTCTTCCTCGATTTGGTATTCAATCGGTTCCGTGTGGATGCCGTCCTCCAGAATCCAGCGTTTGTCGTAATTCGCGCTCAATCCCAGCTTCTTTTGCTTATAGGTGCACATCATCCCTCCATTCATTTGAAATCCTCTGATTGTGGCGGTATTTACGTCCCCCTCCAGCGCGTCTTTGTAACAGACCCGGTGCCGTTTGTTTTGGCGTTTTCGAACCCCTTTTGAGGACGCTTTCACGTTACCTTTCTCGTCCTCGCCGTAATAACACTTCCTGCAAAGACCAATCACCCGAACACCCTCGAACTCCAGCTTAAACATCCCAGGCTGGCGCTCGCTCCATTTGTTCAAAGAGAACCACTTTTTGGCATGTTTGGAACTCGTCCCGCAGCTCCGGACGCACCGCCTCTTCGAAAGAATCACACAAAAAAGCGGAATACAAACTGTAGGTATCCATCTGGATCAGCTAAAAATCTCGCCTATCAGGAAACTTGTCCAGACAGTCCTAGTAAAAGTGCAGGACTCGCAGCTTAGCCATCTGGTAGACCACTATCCCCACCTGAAAGGGGAGGTTAATGTCCACTTGGCACTTTCGCGTCTCGACCTCGTACACGTCACCAATCTCCTTCAAATCTTGAAACCACACCGAGCGCAACTCTCTCAAGACGCTCTCGCTCTTTGTATACTTCACGGTTGCCTGCCTTTCCAAGGCTTTGATCAGCTTGCCATATGCTCTGTTGCCCAACAACTTGAAAACCTCTGCCAACAGCGCTATAATCCCGGACAAAAGTATTGCATATTTCTTCCGACATTGCTGATCAAAGAGCTCCCCAGGGACGGACTGCTACTTGCAAGGATCAAAACAACAAAAATCAAATCAAGCCAAATCTGCCTGATTATGATGTGCTTCCCTCCGAAACAAAGAACAAAACTTGGGGCATTATTAGTTACGCATGTTTCTGTAATACTGTCAACGATGTTTACGATGACATCGTCCACTACAGGAGGAATATATTCAATGTTCCATCGGGTCGCGCAGGGAAGAGTTTCATTGAAGAATTAACCTTCTGGATTAAGCAATTTAATTCAGACTCTGACTTGAACTCGGTCGCTCTTAAAGCATTCATGGTGCTCCCAACTTTGATTTTGCAAAAACCATCCGCTACTTCCAAAAGCAAGGAGCATAGTGAAGCAATAGAGCGTCGATTAGCACTCTGGAAACAAGGGGACATTGATTTGCTGCTTAAAGAAGTGAGTTTCTTTCAAGGGAAATTTGTGAATTCCAAGAAACCTAGAAAGGTTGAAGACATATCCAAAGCCTTCTCAAAGCTGGTTCTGCAAGGAAAATTGGCAGCTGCAATGAAACTCCTAGATAACGAGAGCTCGTCCGGTCTGCTCGACCTATCGCCAGATGTCCTGCAAGGGCTACAGGACAAGCACCCACAGGCAGCTGATATCGCAGAGGAGAGTTTGTTGCATGGCCCAATTGATTATATTCCGCCAAATGTTTATGACCTTATAGACGAAGAATCGATCTACAACTCGGCAAGTAAAACCAAGGGCTCAGCCGGACCATCTGGAATGGACGCAGAGCTGTATAAGAGAATCCTGTGCTCTAAGAATTTCAAGACCGAGGGCAAAATATTGAGAGAAGAGCTAGCCGTGTTCACAAGAAATCTGCTAAGGAAATCGTACCACCCATCCTTACTTGAAGCCTTTACGTCCTGCAGGCTTATCCCGCTTGACAAGAACCCGGGAATCAGACCAATTGGTGTTGGAGAGGTACTAAGGATAATAGTGGGGAAAACGGTCGGCGGTTTCTTAAAGGAGGAAATAAAAGAAGCGGCGGGTCCCCTACAAGTTTGCGCTGGTCATAATGCAGGAGCGGAGGCTGCGATCCATGCAATGAGTCAAGTGTTTGTTGAAGAAGGAACAGATGGAATATTGCTAATTGATGCTAGTAACGCTTTTAACCAAATGAATAGGTCAGCGGCCTTACACAATATCCAGATCATGTGCAAAGAAATGGCGCTCTATGTTATTAACACATATAGAAGCCCATCTAGACTGTTTATTTGTGGGGGAGGTGAAATACTTTCTCGAGAAGGCACCACACAAGGAGATCCGCTAGCGATGCCATGGTACGTACATCCATAATGATACAGAATTTGAGGGATCATTGCCCACTGGTTAAACAGGTGTGGCTTGCAGACGACTCACCTGGAGGAGGGAGTATAGTGCAGGTATACAACTGGTACAGGCAATTGAGTAAGGAAGGTCAAAAGTTTGGTTACCTTGTGAATGGGACAAAGAGCTGGCTTATTGTGAAGTCTAGGGAACTAGCGGAGGAAGCAAAGAGGGTGTTTGGAGAGGAAGTCAACATAACAACTGAAGGTCAGCGCCATCTGGGAGCAGTTATTGCGTCGCAAGAATACAAAGATCAGTATTATGAGGAGAAGGTTCGTGCATGGAAAGAGGAAATCGAGCGTCTCTCTGAAATAGCGAAGAGCCAGCCCCATGCGGCGTATATTGCTTTCACAAAAGGCTACAAGTCGAAGTTCACCTACTTCATGCGCACGATTGAATCGTTTGAAATTTATGTCGATCCAATCCAGGAAGTGATTGAAGATTTACTACTCCCAACTTTGTTCGGTCAATCAGAGCCTCTCCCTAACGAGGTTCGCAGACTTGCTACCTTAGCAACAGGTCAAGGGGGTCTAGGCATTCCTGATCTGAAATCCGAGGCACCGCAGCAGTTTGCTGCCTCGAGACTAATAACCACCGCGCACGTAGATTCTATTACTTCACAGAGTTCCATCATGGTGCCAGGAGAAAGATCTACGGAGGAGCTAAAGAGGCATCAACAATCACTTAAGAGAGCAAGTGCCAAAGAGAAAATGGATAGCATTGATTCAAGCCTCTCCCCAGGCCTGCTGCGTCTAGTTAATCAATCGAGGGACAAGGGCGCACGTTCTTGGCTGAATGCGATGCCTCTCGGAGACAAAGGTTTAGCCCTCAACAAGCAAGAGTTCAGAGACTCGCTACGCCTGCGTTATGACTTGCCCTTAGTCGATTTACCAAGTCATTGCATATGTGGGGATAAATTCACCGTTAGTCACACCCTCTCTTGTAAAAAGGGGGGGTTTGTAGCGCAGAGACATGACGGTGTACGGAACTTGTTAACGACATTCATCAACAAGATCTGCAATAATGTCGAAATCGAACCACGCCTTCAACCCCTGGACAACGAGCGATTTCATTTGAGGAGCGCTGTTACAAGTTCTGAGGCAAGGTTGGACATCAAAGCGGGAGGTTTCTGGGCAAGAGGAGTTACGGCATTTTTTGATGTTAGAGTTACGCACGTCAACTCCAAGTGTTACCAGAGCAAGCCAACATCGGAAGTGTTCAAAGAGCAAGAAGAAGAGAAGAAGCGCAAGTACCAGCTGCGGGTGTTAGATGTAGAAATGGGTTCGTTTACGCCTTTAGTGTTTGGAACCAATGGCGGAATGGGAAACGAGTGTCATCGGTTCTTAAAGCATCTCGCAGACAAGATAGCTCAGAAAGACACCGAGCCTTATCATGTTGTAATCACTTGGCTCAGGACACAGATCTCGTTTGAACTCTTAAGATCGGTACATGCTTGCGTCAGAGGTTCGCGAACGCCGTTTCGTAGCAAGATAGAGCAATCATTAGACTGTAAAATAAATGCCGCTAGTGCGGATATCTGAAATACGTGTCTATATGCTTTTACTTAGGGCTTTTTATGGACACTGGTTTAGCCGTCATTAGTATAATTCGATTGTATGATCTTAATATCTCTGCATAATGGAATTCTTAATTCTATAGAATTTTGAACTTTTATTATTAATTATATCTATTTCCTCTTCCTTTATGTAAGGTTAAGTTACTTCTATCTTTTAGAATTTGTAAATGAATAGTTTTTTTCTTTCTTCACTTATTATATATAGGATTGTTTTTGTTCTCTAATGAAGGAATTGTAGATAGTGTTTTGATGAATTAATTAGATTTTTTGTAACAGCAGGTTGATTGTAAAAGGGATTTTAATTGAGGTTTTGTAATAAAGTATTTGAGAAAGTTTTCCCCATTATGTCTACTTTCCTAAGCAACAAGACTATTTCCAAAACGATGCCTTTGCGGAAAGAAAACTCCTTCCCCCAATTCAATGTTGCTTCCCACAAACGCCTAGGGATCAGGCTTTCCTTTGAATACACAACAACATTGCTTTCAGGGGAAGGGGGAAAGCGAAGAACCGCTGCAGATACGATAGTTAGCAAAATGCTCCTTAAGTATAAAATTTTCTCAACAGTTTTTTTTAAGATTGGAGCTCGGGTTTTTGGTGGCCCTTGCGCCTGTTTTCCGTGCCTTTCTTCACGAACCACTTAAAAGCTTTTTGAGACACATAGTCAATTGTTCTATGCACCGTGGTGACTTTCAAACCATGGTCGATACCATTTTAACAAGGGAGCGTACAATAACATTTTTTGGGCTGAAAGTGCGCCAAACAGTTTTTGTTGGTCGTGCATGGGCTTGCGCTTGCAGCGGGCCAAGTAGTCTTTCATGTGCTGCGGCACCGCCGCGCTTGAGACGGGTTTGTTGTAGAACGACCGCAGCATTTCTTCAAAGTTTTCCCACAACTCTTTTGGCGCCTCGATGCCCGCCTCGGCTAAGCCAAACCATTTGTCATGCTGCAAAAATCGGAAAAACTTTTCGACGTTCCCTGGCGTTTTCGGCCAATGCATAACGGCCACCTTGCCGCAGGGCATGACACCCAACATTGTGCGTGGGTACAGCGCGTTGGTGTCGTAGCCCAGACCTTTTCGACACATCTTAGCATCTTGAAATTTGTGCGTACGGATTCTCGTTTTGCCAGCTTCGTTATTTCGAAAGAAGGCCACGCTCGACCCCCCGACAACCGCTTCTTTCAGCATTTCGTAGGCCTCCTTGCCTGGGGCGTACAACTCCGGGGCGTCTCTTTGTTTAAGCGTGCTCCGCAGGAAATATTTCATCGAGACCCCCGGCAGCGACACCGCATCTTTGAAGATGTCGATTCCCAACCCCGTGCGCGTAGAAGACTCGCATGGACTCCAGGGAGTCCAGAAAGGGCTCGACATCCCCGTTGTTGTAACGTTCCAGCCAAGCGGAAAACCTCTTCATCTCCATTTTCCCCAAACAATCGCTGACAGTCCTCATACTCTTCAAAGGACAATACGGACTCGTTATTCCGTTTTGAAAACCAACGAGGAAACGGCGGAAGGCCTGGAAAGGCCCACTTGTCGACAGAGTCAAATCACTCAAACTGCAGCCATGATTTCGATAATTTGGCCCTGTACGTTTTCACCCATTTGTGGTAACTTGCATCTGGGCTGACATAGTTATAGATGTCCAGAAACTTGAAAATCGGTATGGACATGTGCATGACCTTGTTTTGTTTGTTCACCACCTTTACATCACCTTCCGGAGCAAGGCAGGTCACAAAATACTTCTTGATTAGATTCAGATCACAGCACCCTAAGTTGAAACCCGTAACCGGGGTCTGGAAACACCATTGGCTTATCAGCTATTGTTGCTGCTCGGGAAAGAAACTGAAATCCTCCGGGATGTAGCGCTGCATGTCTTCTCGGATGGCAACAGCCCTTCGAACAAGCGCCTCCCAGAATTTCCTTACAAGTTCTTCCCGATCTTTGCTTATTATGTGTTCTGGCTCTCTGTTCAGCGTGTCTGCCAGCAAAACAGAAACAGGAAGGTGCTCGTTTTTAAACAGCAGGTCTTTCGTCGCTTGCAGACTTTTGATCACGGGAAGCAACGCCTCGAAAATGTACACGATGGCGTGCGGAAAGGTTTCTGTTTTCTTTTTCAGATAAATTGGTTTTTCATGAAAATTGTGCCCACAACACTCGACCAATTTAAATCCCGCTTCAAGAATGGCTTTTCTTCTTTCCAGGGTTCGTGCATACCGCATATCTCTTGTTAATTTTCCTTTCCCTTGCTTGGTTTTTTCGAAAGCTACCCATCTCTTTCATTGAGTTGGATAACACTTTGGACAGCCATGCCAACGACACACGTGAAACTGAAACACCGTATTTGTTTTCAGACAAAAACCGTCCACGGGATAACCTGCAATCACCATTTCTCCACAGTGACCACACATTTGGTGATGAATATCAATCCAGCTTACCGCCTTTCCACCATAATCCCTCATCCCATAAAACGCTTTTTCATATGCAGTTTCGGGGATTTGAACTTGCTCCCCTGGACACACCTCCTTGGTTGCCCCACTTTAACAAATCGCTGCATGTCGCCGCAGATTAACAATTTTTGTAAATGTTTGTTGACAATCGTTACAACAATAGTGGTTTGTCCCTTTTTCAAGATTTCTAATCAGAAAAGCGTGATCTTCGAGGATGCCGATGTTCATCTGGGGCACTCCGATTTCGTCGAAGCGCGAAGGTAAATATTTCAACGAAAAGGTACCTTCGTCATCAACTTCGTATCCAGCAGACCCCTGCTGGAAATGGTTTTCAATCAAAGGAAAATGCCCTTTGTAGATTCTGTGGTTTTGACAATAGATTTTCTTTTTCGATCTCCTGAAATGCCCTTGTTGTCAAATAATCGTTCACATCACGCAAAAACCGCCGTTTTGTGAATCTTCTGCCCCTTTCCTCTTCGACCTCCCCGGCGAATTCAGCAATCAGTGAGGTGGCGTCTTTCCAAAATATCGATCCACTTTGTTGGCGCAATTGCTTGTATTTAGTCATCATAATCAAAGAGGTCTTTTCCCGTAAAAGGACGCTCATAATGCATCGAGTGAGAGGGATCTCATTTTTTTCGTTTGGACTTTTTATGGATCTCGGGGGTCGCGTTGTCCGACACTCTCTGGGTATAGGCGGATTGAAGCGCAAACTCAAGAGCCTTTACTTTGTGTCAGCAGCGATAGGTTCTACTTAAAGGGTGAGATCGACATGCTTCTCTGCAACCATTCTCTAACAGGGCGCACTCGCCGGGCTGGTGCCGCGGCCGAGCAAAAAACCGTTCCCCGAGAAACGTCTTTTTGTTTGCTTCGTGTGAAAGGTTTTAAATTGGTTTAAGTGGCGCTATCCACCAAGTAGTATAGAGGGTGTCAACAATTTGAAGAGTTTTGTTTTCTGTTAGGTCGGAGAGGCAAGTGTTAAATGTGAAATGAAGATCGTCAAATGACCACAAATCAGGCATAATGCACGAAACGCCATTAAATCGCGGAAGGAACGTGAGCCACCACTCGATATCCACTCGATGTCCAATCTCATGCCCGGATAGTTGACAGTTGAACGACGGCGGTGTGGGAAAGAACGTAAACTGTTAAGCAAGCGTGACATGAAAACACGACCAGGCCTGACACACGCGGTGACGAACGACAATTTGCCAAGCAATGAGCGTAACTCAGTTAAACGATGAGATGTGCGAAACTGCCAAGATTTCAGTTCGATGATCAGCTCTTAAAGGCGATCAAAAGGAATTCGTAAAATGAAATCAGCCCTATCTACTTCAATGCCTAAGCATACCATCTTGGAGCAGGGGGATAGTCTTTCTCGGACGAAGGTTGCAATCCCAGTTGATCGAATAAAAATTGGACATATTGAAAAACGGTGAAAGCGAGTGCCAGATCCTCCGCGCCATAAAAATCGTCTAAGTAAACGTCAGCAGTTTAGCCCTGTTGAGTAAAAATATGAAAAACGGCAGATGTAGTGCGCTGACAGATTATGGCGCTTGTTCGTAAACCGAAAAGAACAGCGAATGTCGAAATAGAGCTGGCCGTTTAAAGGAAAACCGTAGGGTCTACAGGGAGTTGACGGTAGATCTTTCATGTAAACCAAACAACGCCGTCCGTGTAGCTGTATGAAATGAGTAGATCCCCGTTTAGGAACTGTTTGTAAAGGTGAGCAAATCAGCGGTTGATGTAGAGGGTTGCTTTGGAACGGGCCTGCAATAACGTTGAAAGAGAGTTCGGTTTGAATATAGTATTCGACGTGTCTGGCCAATTGAATAGCGAAAGGGTGATTATGCGATTTAAAGAAGGTAAAACAACGGCCGTATAACTGATAGGCCAACCAAAACGCAAAAAATCTTTAACAACAGCGTCATGATAGTCCCGTAAATGGTACTCCCAGGCAGAGAGATCTAACTGAGATTCTACTGGGAGAGCTTTAAAGGCGTTCGGTGAAGAGACTTAGAAGCGATCATGTGCTGCACGACCGCTGTGACGGCGCTAACACTAACCTGATGATAATCTGTAGGTATATTTTGAGTGTCCAATTAACAATTATTCCTGAAGCCCGAATTGGCTCTGAGTCAATGGCTATTGACTCAGAGGCCATGAGGGCGAGAGGAATAATTGTTTTAGTAAAATCCAACTAGTTGGTCAAAACTATCGAGAATATAAAATTTTAGCCAGTTAAAGCTACAATCTTAGACAAAAACCTTGAAACACTTTGGAAAATTCTGCTCCCTTTTGTCTTCTCCCTCCCTTTTGCAATGTTGTTGTAGCCACGCAACTTTGCAATAACATCTCAACATTGCAGGGGGAAACGGACGTGCATAGGTGTTTCAAGGATTTTTGGCGAGGATTGTGTGAGGTGTAAAAGGCCATCAGGTTATCATTACACGCTATTCAAACGTTGCGGCATGCTTGAAGAAAGAGCAAGCTTGAGCTATAGCGTAAGGTGTTGTGATTTTAAAGATTTTAAATTTATGGCGAGAATTTCTTTCTTGGCAATCTTTAACGCTCAAAATTTTCGAGAACTGTTTCTCGATTTCAAGGGGAAATTACAATACGAACTTTATTCAAAACAGGGAGCTAACCAAGAAGACAAGGGTTTGGCAACATTACTAATTTCCAACAGCGGACCCAATGCAGTCAATGCAGAATTATCCAAGACATGATATCAATGCGAACTGATTTAAATCCAGTAGTGAACATATTTTAATTAGTAAGTGGAGACTTGCATGCCAAATGCGAGAGAAAAGTAATTTTTCACAGAACGGACAAAATGGACATGAAAAATACAATTCTTAATACCTGCAGTATAGAGAAGAAGAAATGTGATAAAACTCGATGGATAACCGTATGCAGCGCCGAATGGAAATTCAGGAAATTCAAGGAAAGAAAACAAATTAACCCGATACTGAGCAACTCACTGAGTTCTATGTAAATAGAACTCGTCCCGATATAATTACGTGATGCAGCTGTTGCGTAATGTTAACAGTCATCGGTTAACCCCCCGTTTTGACGCCACGGTTTACCACTGGTTTTTGCTCTTATTCTGTTTGAAATGTGTGTTTTGTAGCTTAAAAAACGTTTTGATATGAAGTTAACTAAATATCCAACCCAACTGTTAAGTTCAGATCTGGCCACAGAGTGAATTTCAGGGTTTTTACAACGGTTAACCATACCGTGTAATAAAATAAAGATGTCACAAGCGTTACTTTCATATTTAACAACGGTAAACCGTTGACCCTTTTGATTTCTCGTCGTGAGCAGACCGCATTAGAAAGTAACAGTCGTACACTTTGGAAACAATGCTGTTATTGAAGACGTTACATGTCTGCATTTGTTTGCAGATATCAATACGTGCGGCGACTTTTTCAAATCCACTGAGACCGAAAAAACGTAATGGTAAACCGTGGCCTGTGTACATTACACAACACATGCATAACGGAATTAATTCGGGGCGAGTCCCATTTCAATAGAAATAAGGCCAGTTTTAAGTTACCTGCCTAACATTTACCTTCAGAAATTACTCTTATCGAGGAAAAAATACTTCTGTAAATTGGCTGTTCTAGCAACGCCATTTCTTGTGCTAAATCTTTTCAGGTCCTAGCACAATTACACTGTTCCAATGCGACAGAAAAGCTCACAACTGCAAATTCTGCTGGAATACACTCACTCCCTTTCAAGTGAAAATTTCTTTTCAACACAACTCTTCTCCTTAGACATTTCACCTTCTCCTCTCACATTCAGAAAAAAAATTCACATAATTTATCGAACTTCAACAAACGTGTACATCATCATTGCAACACGTTGCAGATGCAAGGCAGGCGCGTAGTCGCCACTAAAAATGTTTAAGTCTTATTTGGCATTTCTTGCGCATGCTCCGAAAATTTCCCGACACTTCAGAGAATCTTAGACAAAAACCTTGAAACACTTTGGAAAATTCTGCTCCCTTTTGTTTTCCCCCTCCCTTTTGCAATGTTGTTGTAGCCACGCAACTTTGCAATAACATCTCAACATTGCAGGGGGAAACGGACGTGCATAGGTGTTTCAAGGAGTTTTGGCGAGGATTGTAGACTTTAATCCTTTTTTGCCGCCAAAAAGTCGGCGCGTTTCGCTACTAGTGGCCCTATAACATGTAGCCTACTAGTAGTTTCACTTCACTTCACTTATTTATTTGATGTAACCTCGTTCATTAAATGAAAGATATTATTTACATCTCGGGTCAGCGGATTTCTAGAGAATCGTAAATAACAATAATTTGCGGAACTTAGCATCGTCCACAATTTCTACAACATTATGTGGTAGATTATTCCAATCTCTAATTGTGCGTGGCACAAAACTGCTGTAATCACGCTATTAAAGTTGGAAAAGCGGTATTCATTAGTGTCTCCAGCAACTTTGGGTAAGTTGGTGATGTTTTTCTGTATCTTAGATGGCATAAGCAGGCTAAGAAGGGCCAAAATTCAAGGACCAAGAAAACCCCGAACCTTCGCCATTGCTGGCGACCGCTGACTGACCAATCAGAACGCAGCATTGATAATAGACCACTAGTTGGAATTTACTAATAAAAAATAGCCCGGAGATGAACCCGTAACCAGATTCCCCATTAAAACCTCTGTGATCGCGTAAGACGAAACGAGTCGCGAGTCCTGATCTGAAGTAAAGGTGACATCGGGCACAGGAATACGCCGTTTAGGACAGTGAAGCATTGAGGGAGTGGCAGCGCAAACCCGGTATTTATGATGTCCGGCGTAGGTAGAGCTGGAAGTGGCGCACGGGCATGAGCCGATGTAATTCCACTGACGGCAAGCTTTAGTGGTAGGCTGAGACTCTGACTTCGTAGAACGATACGTGGTTTCGCCAGAGCCTGGTTAGCTCAGTTGGGAGAGAAGAAAGTACTGCCTTTGAAGTGACATCTGCAAATGGTTAGACTTTCTAGTCTTCTCGGACAAGGACGAAAAACCGTAGGTCCCGTCTCACAGCACTTTCACTAATTTGTTCTTGTGGGACGTAAAAGAACCCACGCCACTATTCGAAAAGAGTAGGGGTCGTAGACCCCGGTAGTGTGTCCAACCTTTACGGGTTGTGGGATTGGGTAGGGATGGCACCTCGCATGGGACCTGAGTCCCGTTCGTGCACATTCCCTCTCGGTTGGCCTGTGTCCAGAAAAGCTGGTAAAAAGAAGAGAGGATCCGCACACAACAGATGTACTTGAGCGTTGTTGAGGAAGAGAAGATTTGTGACCTGAGTGCTTCTTGATTTCTTCAGCCATGGATGGAAATGAAGCAGAAGGGCCATCGTCTGCTAGCGGCCTTGAAGGGATGGGATTAATAGTGCTGGTTTGCTACTGTGGCAAAGGTCGGGGCGAAGCGAGGCGCCTGCAGCGGCCATTTGACGATCTAACTGATCTATTCGCGATTGCATGTATTAAAAGAAGGGGCCGGGTCTCATTTCGGTTTTGAGAGACAGCTGGAGGGTCGAAGAGAGTTCGGAGACATTGATTGAGCCATTGAGACTGTAAAATGTGTGTAGGAGAGTGGACTGAATCGTTCGAACTGTTCGATGGATGGAAATGAAGCAGAAGGGCCATCGTCTGGTAGCGGCCTTGAAGGGATGGGATTAATAGTGCTGGTTTGCTACTGTGGCAAAGGTCGGGGCGAAGCGAGACGCCTGCAGCGGCCATTTGACGATCTAACTGATCTATTTGCGATTGCATGTATTAAAAGTAGGGGCCGGGTCTCATTTCGGTTTTGAGAGACAGCTGGAGGGTCGAAGAGAGTTCGGAGACATTGATTGAGCCATTGAGACTGTAAAATGTGTGTAAGGAGAGTGAACTGAATCGTTCGAACTGTTCGACGCAAGATATTGCCTGAAATTCTAAACTTATGTATTGAATAATATAATTGACACTTACATCATGGAACAATTATCAATCCTCACTAGCGTAATAATTAACATTACAGCAGAAACATTGAATTGCTTCTCACGTTTTACACTACCTTAGCAATATGAAAAACTTTGTTTTAATTTGGATGACTTGCCTTTTCAGGATAAGTAAGATTGGTTCCTGCATTGTTGACTAAATTCCCTTTTGTGATGACTGATTGTTTGAAAGTTGATTAGCTGCCCAAAATGAATCTGATATGTACTCTGTTACCCGTTATACTGTACAAAGGCACAAGTTAAGCACATTAACAACCTTGAAACAGACGGAAGAATGATCTATTTATTCAGAGATAAATAACTTTACCTGCACATACATTCTAAGGGACTTTATCCCAATGCACTACAATTTTGACCAACATCATAATCATGATAAACAATTTCAAAATAGAGAAACCAAAGCTTGGTGAATTTTTAATCCAAGATTAACATTCATCCCCTTTCAAACAACAAAGCCCTCAGGAGGAGTCTGCAGGTTGCGGCAAGCTCCAATGCAGTTACTAAACAAATCCATGTTACTGTCCAGAATGCTACTCTGTACCTAGGGGTGCACAGACAAAAGAAGTTACAGTATAAGAGGTTTTGCATCTTCTTTTTCCCCACATTCATTAACACCTCATCAACACAAATTCGAATATCTTCGAAACTGCATTTTTTATACGAAAGGGCCTTCCCTCCACAAAAAACCATTGAATCTCCTCACTGAAACCACATATTTTGACACCGCTCTCTAGATTTATTTAATCCACACAAATTCAGATAAAAAATATGCGGCTTCAAAAATGTCTGGATTGGTGTGGACAGGGCCTAATTCATTATAACAAGCAGGCAAGCAGTTATCATATCAAGCAACAAAAGTACAGTCAACCCTGTATGTAACAGCCCTGTTGTTAGCGGTCACCGGACAACTTCCCAAAAAATTTCCAGTTGCCTTATATTTTCTGCGAAGTTGACCTGTACATCGCGGTCAACCTGTATATAACGGTCACCTTGCCATTTCCCAAGGGTGACCGTTTTACACAGGTTTGACTGTGTTGTTTTCATCACTGTTATGTTATGTGTCAAAACACTAAAGAAATGATTGTTTATTAATATTACAAAAAAGAAACAAGCCGTTAATAATAATAATAATATTAATAATAAAACACAAAATTGCATTTAACAAGAAAAAAAGGACTTACCTAATATGAGGAAACAAATAAACATAAGTAACACAGAATACCATCACATTCCAAAACTGGTAAGGTCTCCTTGAAGGAAGTCAGCTGGATTAAAGTCTGACAAGACCAACAGGCAGGTTTTCCAGAAATGCAAAGAATGTATAAGCTGCTTTGTCAGCACAGCTTTCAAGTCCAGATGGAAATGTACAAAAAAATGCACGTCTGTTGCTTTTTTTTTCACTATCACGGCGGTCTGAGAAGCTAATCCAAAAATGAGTTGGCCCTTGCTAAATCTTCCATACGGTTCCTCATTCCTTTTAGCACTTGTGACATCATAGTCATAGATAACTTTGCACCCTTCTGTATTCATGGGCATGATTCAGTCAAAGAGGCCAGAGAAAACACAAAAACCATGTAAAATTGACTAAAAACTTGCAATAAAAATCTTGTTCCAGAACACACCCGTACTTCCCATCAAATAATTTCATTATCTATTGCTTTTTAAGGAAACTTTTGCAACGAAAAGAAGCCTGGTACATAGACAGGAGAACAAATGCAAGAGAAGTGGGAAACGATGGGTGCTTTTTTTCGCTCTGTGTGCCTGTAATTCTTTGTGTTTTTCCTCCACCTCCATGTAGCTGCACGCAAAATGTTTGAAAATTGAACAACCGTTAAAAATTCCTGTTATTTTGCAAAAACTGTGAATCTTCCTAAATTCTTAAGCCCATTTGTTTGTCTGAACTATTAGTTTTCAGTAAAGTGACTTCATATTAGCCGATGTTGCAAAAAATGTAACAAAAATATAGTTTTAACATAATCTCAAACTCCTCTATGGCTCCAAATAAATAGGGAGTTTTATGTGATTAATATTTACAAATGTAATTGATGCAACTTCTACTATCCAGATTTTTTTCTCCTTAAAATATACTTTTCTTGTACAGCGTAGCCACAATCACTAAAAACACCAATAAAATAGCGGGTCATCATTATTGTTTTATCGCAAAAAGACAACAAGGCGGCAATTTTGGCTTCAAATGATCATTTTGCACGAAGGAACTGGGGCGAGGTCAAGACAAGCAGCTTTTCAGCCAGGAAGAGTTATCCCAATTGCTATTAAAACCATTTAGACTACAAAAGCGGCCTTTGTTAGCTCTATTCAGGTGACCAGTGACATATACCGCCACCTTTTGTTACAATGTTATGCGCAGTAGGTGATGCGCAGTACAAAATTAAGGAATTACTTTACGCCCTACACTGTACAACGTAATTATACATTATACTCGGAAACAACACTGCTCCGCGGTAAACTTTTTCCCAACATTCAAATTCTGTTATGGATAGACAGACGTTCAGGCAATTGATAATATCTTAGCCAGGCATTTAATCAAATGGGGCAAAACTGGTGACCAGTAGTGTGGGACTAAAGCAAGAAAAATGGCAGATCTTGTACAAAGTATTTTCTTCAGCTGTACATAACTATCATTTAAACAAGGATATTTGGAAGCCAGCCATTCCCAAAAATCTCAGCTAAGAAGGGAGTATAAAGACATCATTTCTCACCAATTTGCTGTCAAAGTCACCAACAACGGAAAACACATTGCTTTCTTCACCAAGCAAGTACCTGACGGATGCTGATATTTGCATGCTAGTGGGGGATCAAGTTGCTCTTTGTCTTTGGAAGGTGACTTACAAAGTTTTAAAAATATCTTTCATAATCTTCTCACAGATGAGCTGCCTCAACTTTGAGCAAATAAATTTACTGCTCTCCTTTTAAAATCATATTAGCTTGTTCGTATTACCTACACATTCACTTCCGCTCCTTTTCACCCTACCCTAGGTTAAGTGGTATGATATCGGTTTCTTTTAATTTAACAATTGAGTCTTCAATGTGATAGTACATGGTCATTCTAGGTGACATGGTTGTTATAGTTAACCAATTTAATTCAATCTTCTTTCATATTTCTTGTAAAATAACTGAGTGAATAAAAGGTTAATTTTTTGCCCTTACAAGCAAGATTTCTATCTGCAGGCTTTTCTGAATTTCTAGCTTTTAAGATATACCTGAAGGGACTCCAGATGCAGGAATAGGTGCCGTACTGCCTGGTCCATCGATAGCTCCATCTGGTAAAAAAAGATCATTCACAAATTCAGTTTTTGATCTAGAGGTTAATATGCCTTTGTGTAACTCACTTCACAAAGTACATGGGGTCATGTTCTGTTGAGAACACACTCAGGAGAAAAAATGCCTAGCGCGAAGAAAAAGTTAAAATTGCCTCCAGTCTTGGTCACCATAAACTTTAGCCGCAATGTTGTATATCAAAACATTAGTAATGACCAATAAACAAATTAAGTCGAAACAAGAACGCCCTTACAGCGGCGTTTCGACCGGCTTGCTTGGAGATTAGATCGAGAAATGAAGAGGCGATTAATATTACACGAAACAGGATTTACTCGCTACAGGTTTTTTACTTCCTACTTTATCGACGTCGATACTTTATATTCGTTTCTGAATTGATTTATTACGCGTGTTAGCGACGAACGGAAATACGTCTGCGGTCGCAGGATATACACCTGTATAAATACACGAGATTCAGGGGCCTCGATTCCAGGGAAATTACATCATTGCCAGAGATCAAAGATTGATTTACATGACCTCTCATTTCAATCATCGCCGAAAATAAAACGCATGCTCATCACAAGGCCATTTGCATACAATGAAAGTTTACAACACCTGACCATCGCAGTTTTGCTAATTAAAATTCTTATTTTCTTTCGACCACTCAGTAGTGTTCACTTGTTCCAAAGTAATGAGCGCTTTGAAGAGATAGAATTCGTAGACCGACACGTTTCGGAAAAGCTCTAAATTTAATCTCTCCTAAGTTTTCTTCGCAAGACATGCGTGGCTTCGGTGGCTTCGATCACGCAACGATTCTTATTCCCAGTTTCCACGGTCTCCGCTAGGAACGCTTGGCACAATAACCTCCCTTCTGTGTCATAAATACGAAGAAAAACGCGTTGTAGATTATGAGTCTCGCTGGTTGTGGAAGCGAGACTAATTAGTAGAGTGATTTTACTTAACCTGATAAAAAGGTAGAGTAGAATACTACGCACTATTACGCACTAATTCTATTGTCTTCTTTTGTTTATTTGTAGCTATTTTGCACTAGTAGTTATTAACTGTTTCACGGGTCAAATAAAATCGCTCTATCATTTGTAAGAACACAAAGTTTTATATTAGGTTACAGTAAAGGATCTTATTATTCATTCAAAATATTTCCCTGTTTCTTTGGTTAAAATCACACGCATAATAACCAGCTAATGTTGACCAAATTTGAAAAGAATTTTTTCATATTGAACCGATGACGTCAAAATGACGTCAAAAGTGCAGCCTTAATGCATGTTATTGAACCGTTGACCGTGAAAACCTGGGGACGAGGTTGAGTTGTTTTGGTAGTTAGAACAGAATGGCGGAACAGTCGGCGGAACATTTTACTCGTTTCACGGCGAAATATTGTTTTAAAAACATGGCAAGAACAGCATGAAGACAGACGACTTCTGGTATTTGGAGTATATTTGCAGAGTGACTTGAACAGACCTTTATCTCCTAAACTTTCCGATAAAGATGTATTATCGATCTGAACTTACATCGACCAAGGTTAGCATGTTTTAGCTTCGTTTTGAAACTTGGAATTATTTTTGAACGAATAATAGAATAAATATTGAATTCGGCTTTCGTATATAGGAGATGAAGAATTCTGCAAATCGAGGACGGTGTCATCCTCGGCCTTCACTTGGTGGATAACACCCTCCTAGTCGATCTGCAGAATTCTTCATATCCTACGAAAGCCGAATTCAATAAATGCTAATTATTCAGTTAAGCACCTTACAGGACACAAATACAAAATTTCCTGTTTGCGCTGGCCAGTAAAACGTTGAGTAGTCCCTTTTTTTGGATGTAACACCTTGGCCTTGAAAAAGGAATTCAAAACCTTAAATAAATACTAAACATGAAAATTTGTTAGATGGTCTTAAACTTTGCTCTGAAGGCTTTCCTTATTAGTTGACAACAACAGTGCTAAAATGAGACATGAGGCAGCAAGGAAAAACAGGTTTGTTTTGTACAGAGCTGGCACGTGGTTTACGTAAAATGATTGAAACTTCCTGTACTTTAAAAAGATTTCCAAGCTATCCTAGATTAGTAAAATCCAACTAGTTGGTCAAAAATATCGACAATAAAAAAAATCTAGCTAGTTAAAGCTAGATTTTAATCCTTTTGTTGTCGCTTTTCGCTACTAGTGGGTTATCACATATACCCTAGTAGTAGCTCAACCAATCAGAACGCAGCATTGATAATAGACCACTAGTTGGATTTTACTAATCTAGGATACCTTGGAAATCTTTTCAAAGTACAGGAAGTTTCAATCAATAGCCCATTCGGCCTTCGGCCTCATGAGCTATTGACTCAGAGCCCATTTGGGCTCGGGGAATAATATACCGGATATTCATCTCCAACAACAGGATATTTGAAGTCTACTTCCACACAAAGGTATTTGCATGTATTTATAAGAACACTTTTTGTTAGATATGTGTGCATCACAGAGAATAAAGAAAGATTTCTCACATCTGACGATTAGGAGCCTAATAAAATATATTGGCGCGTTTTTGAAACTAGCTTTCGCTTTTGTTATTCACTGTTTAATGCTTCATTGTTTTTGCTTTGTTTTCCCAATTAAAAGAAAAGAAATGCTCCCCAACCGCCGATATGAATGAATGGTATAGAATATTCTATTTCTATCAAAACCTGGGTGGGTAGAAAACGACGACCTAAGACCTAAGACCCAAAAACGAAGAGCCCCCTCAAAATCACTTATAAATAGCTAGAAACGGGTATCTCGACCATAAGCCTGGTTTTCATATGTCGGGAAAATCCCAGACGATCGGGGATTTTAATGTTTCCCGACTGTCCCAGATTTGCCGACTAATGAAAACTCAAAATCGTGGATATCCCCGATCGTCTAAGATGGACGGGGACAAATGTGGAGAATCGGGAGCGTTACTATTTTCCCGACGCGTCCAAGATTTCTACAATGGTCGGCGGTCATTCCCGACAGATGAAAACTCAAATTTGTACCGTCGGGGACGTCGGCGATGGATTTTGCTCATTGCCAATCCCCTAAATGGCTGAGCACCAGTCCCCCTATCACAAATAGACATGTCGTTTCTCTCGGAAAAACGAGTGATAGCTATCTCGAATCTCTTGCCCAAGAGGCAAAAAAGAATGATATGGCGTTCATGGATATCATAAAAGAATTTCCCGTTATTTACAACCGTGCCTGTGCAGATTATAAAGATCGGAAAATAAAGAACAACGCCCGGCGAAAGATTTCAGAGTTGCTTGATTTAGAAGAATCCAAGCGTAGTCAAAAAGATACGAAAGAAGTAACTCTCTGTCTGATAGGCGCAACTCGGAAAACAGTGTGTGGAACTGACCATATTTCTCTCGTTTTTTCAAATATTCTCTGATCCAAAACCTGTCCGTTCTTCGTTTAGTTGGCTTCTGTTTTTTTCAGAATGGAAAACCTTGCATTGACGAGTGCAAGAACACAGATTTATTAAGAACGACGCATCATAAGCTCCTGTGCATCTATGTTGCTGTGATGCTGTTACATTTGTGTTCAAGTTTCAATTTTGGGCGCACTTTCATTTCCCGCCAAATTCATAATCGGGAGCATCTGGGACAGACTTCTGGCCGCTTCCTAGTGATTTTTGAGAGGACTTACTGGCCGCCGGCATGATAAAGATCAGCTGTAACACACACAAGTGTCGGTAACATGACCAATCTTTTTGTCTCTGAAATTGCGTTCGTGATCCTTGAAAACTTCCGAGACCCAAAGGTCTTAATTCTACTACGAAATATAGCGCGTTCTTAAAAGTTTAAGTTAATCTCTCGAGCCTGAACATGATACGCGTGAACTTTTGTGTTGCCTAGCACGTGACTGCAACTACCGTGACGAAAAATTGTGCGATGTTTCAAAAGCGGATTGTATTGCACTATACTGTATGTTGTTTTCAAAGCTCTTGGAGGTTTCTGAAGTTTTCTTAAGCTTTACATGTATATTTAAATCGAAACTTTTATGTGCCTCCGCTTCCGGTTTTTTGTTTTATTGACATGAACAGGTGACAATGAGACACGAACATGTGTTTTGAATCTTGCGTTCAGTTAACCGTGTTCGCGTTTTGATAGTCGACTTCTCGACATTTGGTCCACCGAGCCGGAATATTTTGTGTAACTTTGAGAGCGAAAGTGTGAAAAACAAAGGAGCATAGAGTTATTCAACCACCGAATGAAATTCGCGTCAAACAGTGAAAGCAGTATAGAGTTATTCAACCGCCGAGTGAAATTCGTGTCAAACTTGAAAAGCAAACAACAGCAACGCGTGGGAACGTCGAGAGTGATTGTGCAATTGTGTCTGAAATGAGTGTTTCAAACGGAAACAGAAACCAAACACTGAAGTTATTTCCATCTAGCGAGACTACCAGTACGTCCAAAGCAAGTAAAAGCTCAATTCTGAGAAAGAAACTTCAAGAAGAGAAACTCGCCCTTGAGTTAAAAATAGCCGAGCAAGGTGCGAAGAAGAGATCAGGCTACTGCGTGTTGAAGCGGAGTGACGTGCCGAGCTGCTAGAACTTAAAAGGAGAGCTAAAAAAGCGAAATTAGAAGTGGCTTACGAAGATGCCCCTGCTATTGAGGATTCTAATCATGGATATATTGACGATAAAGATTTGGCGGGATTACCTGTTGATAGTGTAGAGGATCGAGTTTCACGCTTACATCTGAACTCTGCTTCCAACACTGAGACTGTTGTTGATGATAAACGTCCCGTTGGTAAAGAATCCTTAACCGTTCCAGGTGTTGAAGAAGGCGATGAAAATGGAGAAATTAAGCCAAGTGTAAAACCGGAGACAAGAAAACCTCGAGGCGAAAATACGATGTACAGCCTGCCTGCCCAAGGGACCCCAGGTGAGCCTCAAGTCGAGCTAGATCAATTTTTGAGAAAATGCTTGCAGCGTTCATTAAAATTTTCAAACCAAGTGTGCCAAAATTTAAGCAGCATTTAAAGTGGAACTGGACAAAAAAGGGGTTTATGATACTACAGAGAAGCTTAAATTTCTGCTACATGCAGTGGAAGGAAGTGCAAAGTCCTGTTTGGCAAAATTCATGCCAGGTTCTGATAAATATATGGAGGCATGGACTGCGCTCGATGAGCGTTTTGGTAGCGTGGACACTGTTTTGTCGGCAGCTAAAAGGCCTTTAGATCAATTTCCATAACGAAAGAAAATAGTGAGCAGATAAGGCAGTATCAAAAAATGGTGTTGGAGTTAATGGGCGTGTATAAGGAACACAACTTTGTTCATTAGTTAAACTTGCAGATACCCGAAGCAAATGCTGCTAAGTTTTCTGTTCGTCTTTGCTGTAGATGGGCTGAGTTTGTGGAAGGAAAATCGAAACGGTCTACCTGGGAGTCGTGGGAGAATTGGCTAGAAAAAGAAGTGAAAATATGCGAATCAAAGCAGAGGAAGGGTGCCGGAGAAGCGAGAATGGAGAAGGTTTGATTCGACTAGGAGTGATTTACCTAAGAGTGGTTCACGCAAGTCTAGTGGCAATCCAGTGCCAGGACTGTTTGCGGGAGCAACACAAGAGACTCCCTCAGTTGATGAAAAGTTGACAAAGAAGTGTCCAGTTCATAACTCGACAAGTCATACGTTAGAGGAGTGTAATTAGTTTAAAGAATTGCCCACTCTCGAGAAAGAGAAACTCGTTGAGGAACATAAACTTTGTCTCTCTTGTCTGTTGCCGGGCCATCGACTGAACAAATGCAATGCTAAGAACAGATGCAAAGTTGAGGGCTGTGCCATGCGTCACCATACTCTAGTTCATGAGGTTGCCTTGAACATTGTTGAGCGATCGAGATGGGGTGAAGGAGCCTAGAAACCTTCCGTTCCGGAGGGTGAGAAGAGACCTCTAAATCAGTCAGAGAAATCACGGGAGCAGTGTCATCACTCGTTGTGTTTAGGGTGCGAGGTTGGCGGTCGTGTGTTGCTTGAGGTGCTGCGTGTAGTTCTGTTTTCAGAGAGAGGCGAGCAACAAGTTATGGCGTTGGGTGACTCAGGATGTAAAACAACACTTACGGATGAAGAATTGGCTCAGTCACTTGGTCTTAACTTGCAAATTCAAGGTTTTAATGCAGAGAAGGCGTTTACCTCGCAACACATAAAGAACTGTCAAATTCCTAGAGTTGGAAGAGAAGGGGTGAAGTACGTACTGAGAGATGTAAAAACGTCTCCTAACCTAAGTGGTCCGGATCAGAAGATAAAGTGGTCGGGGATTAAATAGAACTTTAGCCACCCGAAAGACTTGGACTTGAACGAAACGGGCATGGGTCCAGTGCGACTGCTAATAGGAAGCAACAACTCAGATTTGATTCTACCAATGCGGATTGAAAAACCTTCAGGACAGTCACATGCTGACAGAGTACCATACGCAGTCGAGACAGCTCTTCGTTGGGCAGTCACTATCTGGTTACCCGGTGAAAAAAAGGTGGCATCACCATACAATGCGTTTAAAGTGTATGAAACAAGTGTAGGCGAACAGGAGGAGTTGCAGCGGTTGCTTACTGCTCAGTCGGAGGTACATTCACTAGGTGTGGTGAAGCTAGCAGATCCCAAGGACAGACGAGCGTTCGCAGTAATGGAGCAGACAACTGAGAAATTGGAGGGTGAAGGCGCTTATGTATCAGGGCTGCTTTGGCGCGAAGAAGACCCATCGCTTCCTAATAACTATGACATGGCTGTGCGGACACGAGTCGTTAGAGGAGAAGTTTAAAAATGGTCTCGAAATTAAAGAACGATATGCGAAGTCAATCCAGGATGACATTGAGAAGGGTCATTTGAGAAAACTAAGCAAAGAAGAAGTATGCACTGATAGCAAAGTCACCTGGTACTGGTACTGGTACTGGTACTGGTACCTGGTACCACACCGTTTCGTTATCAATCCCAAAAAACCTGATCGTCTCAGGACAGTATATGATGCATCAGCGAAATTCAGGGCTCAAAACCTGTACACAGGACCAGATTACTTTTCGTCGTTGTTTGGTGTTTTGCTTAGATTTTGCGAAGGAACAATTGCATTAGCAGCAGACGTGCGAGAAATGTACCACATGTTGCGTTTACCGCATTGGCCAGCCATGAGGTTTCTTTGGGAAGAATCACCGAGCAAAGAACCGAGTGTCTACCAGCTCCAGAGGACACTGTTTGGAGAAGTGTCGGCGCCATCTCGTGCCAACGATACATTGAGGCGGAATGCAGATGAGAATGGGGGAGATCTACCTCATGGAGTCAAAGCCGTTTACAAGCATTTTTATATGGACGACGGTCTACCGTCTACTGACTCGAGAGAAGAAGCCATAGAAATGCGGAGACAAATGACAGAATTACTGCGCTGTGGAGGCTTCCACCTGCACAAGCGGTAAACAAACGACCCTGAGGTATTAGCAACTATCCCGGTAGAGGATAGATCTTCGCGTTTCCTTTATTTGAGTGAAAATAAATTAGCAACAGACCCTGCATTGGGCGTTACGTAGGATGCTCAAGAATTTGTATTTAGGTTCAATGCACTTAAACAAGAACCTGCTACTACAAAGAGAACAATCTTAAACCAATCGTTCTCTGTGTGGGATCCTCGAGGACTTCTCCTCCAGTTCTGAATAGCTTAAAGTACGGATGGGATGATGAGTTGAAAGAAGCTGATCTTCGTGAGTGGCGCGAATGGTTTAAAGAATCAGAACTGCTTGAAACTGTAAAATTCCGCGAGCACTATTCAGCAGGAACATGACATTTCGAGAAACTAACCTGCATGTGTTTTGTGAGGCGAGCCAAGATGCTTACGGAGCGTGTGCGTACCTTAGACGATAGTTTGAAGATAATGTAGTTGAATGCAGACTAGTCGCTGGGAAAGATCGAGTTGCGCCTCTTAAGGCACAGTGTATCTGTAGACTTGAACTAATGGCAGCTCTTATTGCTGCTCGTTTAGCTGAAACACTATAGCGGCAGAGTTAATGACAAAGACAGCGAAGATAACCTTTTGGAGTGATTCTACCACCGTTCTTCATTGGATTCATCAGACGAGCTCCAACTACAAGGCGTTCGTGGGAAATCGAGTATCCGAGATTCACACAATCATGAGTAACCTGGAGACTGCACCAGGGGCGGGTGCGGTGAGCTGGAGATAAGTCGCGCGTTGCGACCTTAGGCTGGGCTCGTGCGATTGTATTTTATCATTTGTGGGACAGTGGAATTGAAATTCCAGAAGCATAAATGCCCACGAGCCGCAAGAAACACAACAACAGGAGAGCCGTGCGACAACGGACCGCCGAGGGAACAAATCAGCGAAACAGCGAGGATCGAAATGCACCTATGACAGCTGGTGAAAACCATCCTATGACAGTAGAGCATAATGATTTATAAGGTGACTCATTGCTTTGAAGTCACCTCAGTTTTTTAGCAGTTCTTTAAAGAATGTTACTTAAGAGCATACCATCAATAAACATGATGTCGTATTTGCACGTAATTTCTATTTGAAATACGAAATGCCCCAGGAAAATGTGGTTTCCGTTCGTCCAAACATCACGCTCAATGACGTATTCATGATAACTGGCATTATAAGGATACGAACCACAAGAATTAACGGGATACAGGATATTTTAGCCAAAAAACTAATGGGATACAGGATACTCAGACACCCCCAACGAGGCCTCCATCGTACCTACTGCCATCCACCAACCGAACATTTGCTGAATCTAATTAAACAGGATTATTGGATCATCCATTATCGTCAAGCTGTAAGAAGCGTGAAATTTAAGTGCAATTACTGTTATCGTCAGACAATAAATCCCCGGGAGCAGCAAATGGGAAACTTACCTGAGTGTAGACGTGAACCTGGAATGGCATTCAGGAACACTGGGGTTGAATTATTTTGGTCCTATAATAATTAAGGAGAGACGCAGTGAAGTTAAAGTGCACGGTTGTTTGTTTGTTTGTTTGCATGGCTACTAGAGCTTGCCATCTTGAACTGGTGGACGATCTATCAACGGATCATTTCATTATGGCTTTGAAGAGGTTCATTGGGCGGTGTGGGAGACCACAAAAAATATACAGCGATAATGGAAATAACCGTGTAGAGGCCAGTAATGAGCTTTTGAAATGTCTTAAGCAACTGAATGAAGAGAAAGTACAAAACGTTTGTGCACCAAAGAAGATTGAGTGGAATTTCCAACCGCCAAGTGCACCCCACTAAGGTGGCACGTGGGAGAGGTTAGTGCAGTGTACAAACAAAACCTTGAAGTCCGTGCTGCAAAACAGGATCGTTGCTAAAGAAGCGCTTAGAACTCCTCTGGTGGAAGCAGAAGGGATACTGAACAGTCGTCCAATCAGACATGTCTCTAGCGATGCGGGTAATATAGAAGCGCTGACGCCAAATCATTTTCTGCTTCTGCGAGCAAACCCGAGTAATGAGAGATCAACTCAACGAAACTAGTCTCAAGCGCTTGTAAACTTCTTTTGGAAGCGCTTTGCCAAGGAGTATGTCCCTAGTCTCACAGAGAGGAAGAAGTGGAGAGAGAAGAGAAAGAATCTGAAGGAAGGAGACGTAGTGCTTGTTGCAGAACCGAACCAGCCCCGAGGAATAGGATTGTGGGTAAGATTGTGTCTACTCATCCTGGACAAGATGGGATGGTCCCAGCATTCACAGTGTGTACTCAATACGGGAGTACAAGAGACCAATCACAAAACTGTGTTTGTTAGACGAAGCGGAGACCTAGTTCTAGATACAGTAATTCGTCTTGACTTTGTGTCGCCACTAGGGGTGGGAATGTGCCTCTGCTTCCGGTTTTTTTTATTGACATGAACACGTGATAATGAGACACAAACATGTGTTTTGAGTCTTGCGTTGAATAAACTGTGTTCTCGTTTTGATAGTCGACTTCTCGACATTTATGTAAACAAGATTTCACGTCTCACAAAGTAGTCTACTATATTGTTTTCACGCCCCTTTGGTAAGGATAGTGTAGGAATAGGTAAGGATAGTTTAGGGTTAGGGTTAGGTTAATGATAGGTAAGGATAGTTTAGGGATAGGTATGGACAGTTTAGGGATAGTCTATGACGTCACCCATTGTTATAACCTAGGGAAAAACGCGTTCCTCCATAGTAATTAAGTGCCTTCCTCCATATATAATGAAGTGGATAGTCGTTTCTTGAAAGAAAATTGTGTTCTTCCAAGAAACGACTATCCACTTCATTATATATGGAGGAAGGCACTTAATTACTATGGAGGAACGCGTTTTTTCCCTAGGTTATAACAATGGATGACGTCATAGACTATCCCTAAACTGTCCTTACCTATCCTTACACTATGCTTACCTATCCACCAAAGGGGCGTAAAAACAACATAGTAGACTACTCACAAATTAAAAAAGCGAAGCGGCGAAGTATCAAAGTGACATGCTTTTGCGTATCGCGAAAGCTAGCATTTTAGGTCAAGCGGTCAAATTAAAAGTAAAGTTTCCAGCAGAAAAAAAAAACACCCTGACTGTAGACACCGATGACCAGCAATTCAGCTGCCGGTGGACATTCACAAACAGATAGTCAAAAACAAATCGGCAAGTAGAATTCGAAAGACAAGCCGAAGAACAAAAGCAACGAGGGCATTGTTTACACACCGTCGCGTATTAAACTAACCTGAGATCAGGCCCAATTCTAGCGGTCTCATACATTCTCTCTAACGGCTACCGCTTGCGCGCCGGAATGTTATTACAAAGCGAAACGAAAATTGATCCTGATCTCAGGTTAGTATTAAACTGACTTTTATTTACACAAACCTCCTTTTATTTTGGATTTGACAGATAAAAGATCATGGATTGCTTTTCACGTTCAACTGCTGTAGTGAACTGCCTACCTCTGAACGTTTTTATTTAACCTGAGATCAGGCTCAATTTTCGTTTCGCTTTGTAATGGGCCTGATCTCAGGTTAGTTTTTATTAAGATTTCGACGCAAAGTATCAGCCGGGCCGTGAGAAACAATGCAAATTTCAACTGCTCCTGTATCTTGAATTTGCATAGTTCAGGAATTTCTTGCAAGAATTAAACTCTTAGTAGAGTTTTAAAATTGTTATTTTATAGGGTAGAAAGTTATTTCTTACGTGCGAGAAGTTAGAACATTACTTAAAACTTAGTCTCCAAGTAAGTTTATGTGTTTGTTATTCGTTCGTTCTATTTCGTATTCTGAAGTCAAGTAACGATCACTGTTTAGAATCGAAACCCTGTTTCAGTCTTCACCGAATCGTGTAGACATTGTTAAGCCTTTTGTTGCGGCTGTTGCGATAACAATAAACCAGGAACAATACACTAGCTCATACATACTAATCAGTCCTGATGCAAGCACGTTTTTGAAGTGCGTTAGGTAAACGGACTCGCGTTGACGAATTTTTCGCGAACTAGTTTGAAGCGCGTTAACGTGGACGCTTATCTTTGAGCTGTAACTACCTTTGTTTCATCACATGTTCACAAAACATTGCACCTTCAATGACGTCACGGATTGTACTTGATGATGGATTCGAGTGACAAGGAAAAGGAATATTCTCAAGATTCATAAACCGAGACAAAGGAATTATAATATTTCAGACGTCCTTTCCTTCCAAGAAAACTGTTTATTCTGGAAGTTATCTTCAAACGGAGACGACGCCAGATCTGAGTCAGCACAAATGACTAATACCTCCACTTTTTCAGCTAATAGGTTAATAGGAGTCTTATTGAATCGAAATAGAAATATATAGACACCCATATATATCAACTGCCAATTAAAGAGCTCGAGGGTTCAAATACAAAAATAAAAACCGCGCTATTTGCAGAAGGTCTGGAACAATTTGTATAAAATGACCGCGTAAGCTTGAGTTTAAGTCATTCATTCCATCAAAAAATCTGCCTGAAAGTGAAGCATAGTTATAAGACTTCACCAATAGTCTCACTTAAAACAACATACCGGCCTTACCGTCCTGTTGAATAGGTCGCAGTAGTGCTGCTAGATGCGGAGAGACTTCAAGCAAAACATCACAAAACACACCAAACGCTTTAGGTCCTTTCCGAGGTAAAATGTCCAGAACTTCTTCTCGCTGTTCGGATGGAGTCGACTTAGCATTCACACTGTCTTTATCTTCTTCGCTAAAGATTTCCCTTGAGTAAAGCAGCGATGCGACGGGTTTCGCCTCTAGATCTTTCAACAATGCCTCTCTGTTACTTCGCAAGGCTTTTCTATCTTCTTCCTGCATACCGACTGCGGACTATATCAAAAATAAGAAGACGCTATTTTCGGCGACAAAATCTTCTTTCCTTTCCAAGGGAGGTCTTTGACAACCTCGTTCTCATTATTGGCAGGCAAAATCGAAAACGAGTCGGAAGAATTCCGATTGTTTTTAACCAATCACAATGTGCAACTCATTCCTCGTGATTTGACCCAAAAACGACGAAGAGAAGTGACAACAATAAAACTGTTTGAAACTTTTGTACTGTGATAAAAAATGGTAATGACAAAAGCGACTTTGGTTTTTTCTTTTCTTTTTTTAATTTTCAGCCCGATATTTCTCTTTGAAACAAACCCTAGCTTAGTCAGGAGCTGGCTGAGTGTGGCTTGATTTAATTAAATTAAAAAGATGGATTAACTTAACAAATTCACGCGGCTGGGGACAAATTAATGTCTTCGGGAATACCTAGTGTGTGTGCAACAGCCTCCTCCACTAGGGAAAAAAATGGGGAAGGAGATAAAAGCTGACCAAACCCTTTTCCCAACCTCGTTCCCAGGGTTCTCTCCAAAACGTCCCTGCGGGGCGAGAGAGACTTAGAGAGAGACGGGTAGGAGAGAGAACCCGGGAACGAGGTTGCCCTTTCCCCGACCTTTTTTTTCTCTGAGGGGAGGGGACGGCGGTGTTAGAAATTATTGCGTCATTGTGGCGGGAAAACGCGTCACGTGATCAAAAAAACCTGAGCTTTTTGTTAGAACTGTGTAGTCGTTCGGAGTCGCGGAGCTGATTAAGTTTTACGCGAATTGATGTCGATGAATCCTTTAAGTGTAGAACAGAGTGCAGAATTCTAAAATATGAACATGTGAAGAAATATAATTTATTGGAGTGAAGAATAAAAGCTACAGAGAACTGATTACAACATTTGGTTACATGGTCCTTCGCAGTCGCCGGATCGGCGAAACAAGTTTAATCAATTAATCGTCGAGAACAGGATTACAGTACAAGAAGAAAAGAATGGACAACGAAAAAGCAAAGAGAATTAGAAATGCCCACAGAGCTTTTGTGGAGAAAACGATGGAAGGTGCGACGAGGATCTTAGTCGAGCAGACTACCGATCTCGTGGAAGGTTCATCAAGGGAAAAACTTATGTATCGGTCAAATCGAACCTTCAACATGCCCCCCCCCCCCCCGGGCATACCCCATTCATTTGACACCTTTGCCGTCCCGGGGGGGGGGAAATTTGATGATCAGAGTCTTCCAGGGGGTGGGGAATTTGATCCCCATGCTTTAGGGGTGGGGAATTTGAGTTGCACCCTCCATTTTATGTAAAATCTTTGGCGTGGTGAGCTATCATGGGGGACGCGGTGTTAGAGGATTTTCGTGGAAAAGATTGTGCCTTTGTGGCCAATTGCTTACGAGGAAAGGGCTTAAGGGGCCGACCATTTAACTCTTGAGGGGGGGGGGGTGATTTTGAAAAAAAATTTCCTGCAAGCGCTTGTCGGAAGAAAAAAGTTGCATGCAGCACAAATGTAATAAAGAGCTTAAGGGAAAAAAAGGGAAAAAAATATCCTGCCCACCATATTGCTAGAAAAAAAAAATTCTTGATGACCAGAAATCACCCACCCCCACCCTCAAGAGTTAAATGGTCGGCCCCTAAGCAAGCTTTGTGCCGTATTTGAAGTATTTGAATTTTAAAATTTTTAATTGGATTCAGGCTTTGAATGTATGAATGTATTTTATTGTTGTGTTTACATTGAAATACAATACATATACCGGCGATTCAATACAACAACATAAAATAAAATAAAATAAAAAGCTCAGGTCAACTACTTTGACTTTCTGCAGGTATGTTAATTAATAAGGTGAGCGATGATGCATGTCAGTGAAATGGTCATGATGTAGTAATCTCAATAGGTGGAATCTTTTTTTATAGAACGCTTTGTATGTTGCATGACGAAGAAAAGCTGAGCATTCAGTGACCTTGTAGCAGCGATTTCCGCCGCTTTGCACGAGACTTTTGTTCGTAGTAAATACGCTAACAGTGTTTCTCAGTTTTTGTTATATTTATAAAGATTTTGTTCGACAACTGAAGGCGTTTCCGCCGTTCTTCTGTCATTTTTGTGCCTGTGAAATGTCCCCAGGGTGGGGGCATTTGATCACCTGAATGGACCCTAGTGTGGGGCATTTGAACGGCATTTTGGCCCGGGTAGGGGGGAATTTGAACAATAATTTTCAAAAAAGTCAAATGCCCGGGGGGTTGCCCGGGGGGTTGCCCGGGGGGGGCATGTTGAAGCTTCGATTTGACCGATACATTATGGGACTGAAATTCACCCTTAATGAAAGGCTAGAAGCTATCCAAAAGCTGGACGAAACAATTCTGGAAAACAGTAAGGGGAGAGACATTGAGAAAGAAGTCGAGGATTGTGGTGAGTTTTGTGCAAACGTTTACCGTATTTCGGCTAGAATTGACTTGAGTTTAGAGGATGCTAAAAATAGCGCACACGGGGGAACTTCACCAAGCTTCAGTCAAACTAAATAAATAACAATGTCAAAAGCAATGAGGGCGCGAAAGTTAAGCTACCTAAACTAGAACTAAAGTCATTTTCAGGCAACTACGAGGAATGGCAGAGTTTCTGGGACACTTTCGAATCTGCGGTTAACAGAAACACTGACATTTCAAGAATCCAAAAATTCACCTATTTGAAGAGTTGTGTGACATGCGCAGCCGAATGTGCAATTACCGGGTTGCCTCTCACCGAAGATAATTACGAAACTGCCATTGATATTCTTAGAGATAGATTTGGTAAACCACAGCTGTTGATTTCTAACCACATGGACACTTTGTTGAAATTGCCAATAGTCAGTTCAGTGCATGAAACGAAGAAACTCCGTGATTTGTATGACAAGATTGAGATAAACATTCGAAGTTTGAAGGCACTGGGCATCGAATCAGAGTCCTTTGGAAATTTATTAGTTCCAGTTGTAATGGAGAAAATTCCCTCTGAGTTGAGATTAATCATCAGTCGCAAGTTTGGCAGTAAAGAAACTTGGGACCTTGATGTCCTGTTAAATGCACTGAAATCTGAGTTGGAGGCAAGAGAAAGGTGTAATGCAGTGAAAACAAGTAGTCCAACCAATTCTAACCCTAGATTTGACCAGCATAAGGGAAGATTCAAACAGCCCCTTTCCCCATCTGCACTTTATGCGGGCAGTGAAGAGTGTACTCTGCAATGTGTCTTTTGCAAGAAAAATCACGAGTCCATCACCTGTAGTACCATTACTGAACCAAAGGCCAGAAGAACTATACTGAGACAAAGTGGCAGGTGTTTTGTTTGCTTGAAAGCAGGGCATATTACACCAGGTTGTCAGTCAAAGGCCAAATGTTTTAATTGTGGAGCTAGACATCATGTGACTATCTGTGAAAACCCTAAGAAGCCTGTCCAACCTAGTAGTTCAGGAGCTGAATTAGCATCAGTTAGTAGATCTGAAACGTCCCAGGAGAGATCCCGAGATGTTGGAACATCAACAATGCATGTTGGCAGCAATAATAACTCTATACTGTTGCAGACTGCCCAAGCCTTTGTTTCTAGACCAGATAATCAAGAAACTGGAATGTATACTCAAGTCATTTTTGACTCTTGTAGCCAGAGATCTTATATAACCTGCAAGACACGTGAGCAGTTAAAATTACCTACTGTTGGTAAGGAAACCTTGCTAATCAAAACATTTGGTGACAATTCAGCATCTGTAAAGGAATGTGACATTGTGCAATTGTGCATCAGAACAATAGATGGAATGAGTGTGTACGTCACTGCTTACGTTGTACCAGTAATATGCAGTCCAGTATCGAACCAAGAAATTCAAAGTGCAGTAGAATGCTATCCATACCTTCAAGGGCTACAGCTTGCATGTGGAGCTGTTAATGGAACAGTTAGTGTTGACTTACTAATAGGAGCAGATCACTACTGGTCTTTCTTTACTGGAGGAATAATCAGGGGAGATCCTTCTGGACCTGTGGCTCTTGAGACCAAGTTGGGATGGGTACTGTCAGGACCAGCTGCAGTTCCAGCATTGACAGAGTCATGCACAGTTAACCTAAGTGCTACATATGTTTTGAAAATTGAATCAGCTGACATCAGCCATGTGCAAGATGATTTGCAGAAATTTTGGGACTTGGAAACCTTAGGCATAAGAGACACTGAAACTTCAGTTCATGACAAGTTTTCAAATGAGATAAGATTCACTGGTGAAAGATACCAAGTCAAGCTACCATTCAAGGATAATCACCCTATGCTGTCAGATAATTAAACAAATGCATCACGAAGGTTGGCAACTGTGATTAAGAAGCTTAAGACCCAACCAGAAATACTGGAACAATATGATCAAGTGATTAAGGAGCGATTAGAAAGTGGAGTAGTTGAAGAAGTGCGGCAAGATCAAGTCCTAGAACCTGGAAATATGCACTATCTCCCACACAGGGGAGTTGTGAGACTTGACAGAGATACAACAAAAGTTCGAGTTGTATACGATGCCTCATCCAAGGTGTTTGGACCAAGCTTAAATGACTGTCTGCATGTCGGACCTTCATTAAATCCTCTTCTACTGGACATTTTGCTGAGATTTAGAGTTCATGAAGTTGCTGTAACTGCTGATATTGAGAAAGCATTTTCACTGGACAAAAAAATGGATTTACTAGGGTAGCCAATTTACAGCAAATGTGTTGCAAATACCACATTTGCACAATTTTGCGCAAGAGCAAAGACTGATATTGCACTAGATTTACTATCCGTAGCAATGACGGTAAATGCCACATTTGCACAACATTTACACCTTGGTGCAAAGATAATGGGCAGCCATAGATTTGAGGGTCATTTGCAGATGGTTCAAATGTGTAGGCAAATATGTTTCTTTGAACTATATTTGCACGTTACGCAAATGATAGCGCAAATCTGTGTTTTGCACAGCTTTTGCTTTAGATGTAAAAGGATGTAAACCTGTTATTTTCAGAACGTTTACGCAGCTTTGCAAATGTGAGCGAAGTATCTAATTTGAACAATGCTTGCTTCGGTTATCATGGGTGATCAAATTTTCATAATTGAACCAGATTGCTT